AAAGATGGAAAAATGGCCATTTTTGTTGTTTTTAGTTGTTTAGTTTTTAAATTATTTTCATTATTATTATTATTATTACTTGGTTTTTGGCAATTTGTTATTATTATTATTATTATTTATATTTTATCATTTCTGTATTTATTAAGTTGAAAGTTAAAAAAAAAAAAAGAAAAAAAAAGAAGAGAAACGCGACTTGTAAGCTGCGTTTTTGCAGCTTGCAAGGGAGGACTTCGGGCAGCCCCTTGGGTTGTAAATATAGAAGAGCTGGCTGAAGGTTTAGGGTTGTGGTTCCTAGATATAAAAGGAAAGCCGCAAGACAGCCGCAAAGGGGGAACCAACGGGGGAAAGAAAATAGAAAAAAAGACAGCGGAAGATAGGAGAGGTTGGAGGGGAAGGCAAAAACGAAACAGGGAGAGCAAAAGAGAGATTAGGGGTCCGGCTGTAGAGAAGCAAAAGCTACGGGAGACTTATTGAGTGAACGGAAAGGAAAACGAGAGACAGAAGGGAACCATTTTTTGAGAGATAGAAAACAGGGAGGTTTTGGAGGGTAACGGCGGAAACAAAAGTGAAGGAAGAGAGAAAAAGCTGAACAAAGGAGAAGGGAATCTGAAACAAGAGAGAGCTGACGGCTGAGGGCTCCAGGGAGAATCTGAATAGCAAGGAAGGAAGAAAAGGTTTCTGGTTCGTTGTAGCAAAGGAAAAGAATCAGGAGGTGCAGCTGCAAGAGAGCCAGAGAGACAAAGATTTCATCTTTTGGAATACATCAAGCTTCGGTCAAGGATTAAAGGTAACATTTTTTACTTTGGACTGGTTTATAAGTTGCTGAATCATGTTTGAATGCTGAAAGTCTTGGTCTTTACACTTGATTGTGTCCTCCATACAAGTTCTATCTATGAATCTGGTTTGAGTTTGAAGAAAAAGGGGTTTGCGTTAGCTATGCTTGTTTTGTTAATGTCCATAGCTGTTTCTCTTGGTGGTCTTTATGCGCAATCTGGGTTGAAAAATTATGGGAGATGCATAATTTATGGCTGGGTTGGAGGGTAGGACGTATGTTCATGGCTTTTGTTTCGAAAAGATGGCTGTTTTCTTGAGTTTTGTGGGCTGCATATGTCTTGAATTCCATTGTTAGATTATGAAAAGAAAATAGTGGCTGAATCCATGTTTTGCATTTCCATTTGAATCCATGTTTCACGGCTGTTTTCCTCCTGTTTGAGAGCTGGAAACTTCAGAAAATTCTGGAGTTTGCGGACAGATTTGATTGCAGAAAGTTTACTTCTTCCATAACTTACATGAAGCTGGCTGCAACAAGCTAAAAGCCTTTGGTTGTTGCAGCGGCATGGGTCAATTTCTGTGGTCTTTGTCTTTCGCTGGTTTAAGTTTGGAGTTCATGATGTCTTTGATCTTTGGCTAAGCACATCCTGGACATGTTAGCTGCAAGTTACATTTTTTCTGTTGAGAATTGCATTTCCTGCCATGATAATGAACCAAACCTGGAAAATTGCAGCAAGCTTTGATTGCAGAATGTTTCTTCGTTGCCTTGCATGAACTCCTTTATGAGTTAACATAGTTTCCTTGTATGATTTTGCTTGCTTGGATTATGGTAGTTGTGCAGTTGTTAGTTAGTTCAAAGCTTGGAAGATTGATTAAGAAGTTTTCTAATCTATTCTTGGTTGTCGAGGCTTCAAAGCTTAGGAAACAAATTGCAGAAAAACTTTGCTGCACTCTTTCTTCTTTGCTGTTTAGTTTTTTTACTTTCTTGATGGTCAGCTCCAACTTCATATGTGCAACGGCATTGTGTGTTTAGTTAATGTTTTTTGCGCATAAGAGTGGAGCATGAGATGATGTCTTCTTGGTTGAAGAAAGTTTGGCAAGCTGCCGAATTTTCTGTTGCAGAAAACCTGCGACATGTTTTCCTTTTATTGCTGTCTTGCTGTTTAGTTTTTCACCCTTGATGGCCAGCTTCACTTCTTGTTTTAATCTTGCAATAAGAGTAGCTGCCTTAATCTTGCAAATGATGGAATGGTTATGCTTAGATGAAATGTTTTGATCAAAGCTTGGAAATGGAAATGAGAAGTGCAGCAGTTTCCTTTCTCGGTTGATAGAAGTTTGAATAGAAAGTAAATTGCATAAGTTTTCTTGTCTACGTAGCTTGCATGAGTTTTGCATGAAACAATTGCTGAAAATTGCACTTTGATCCCTCAAGTCTCCCCTTGTTCTACTAGGACCCAATCAATTGAATAACTTCATCAAATTGGTCCTTGGCAATTTTAATTCTACAATTTCATTGCTTGTTTGTTTTAATTGATCACTATGCTTTGTTTCAATTGCACTTAATTCATGATTTTAGGGGCTTTATGACCAAGTGAGCTTGTGTTTGCCTATTTTCTTTAATTTTCCCAAATAAATTGGTACCTTGACCATTTCTTTTATTTTGGAGGATAAAATAAGTAACTTCACCTCATTAGGGCGTCAATTCAAGGGAGGTACACTCTATCCCTCATTTGCACTTCATTTGACCCTACGTGCTCCTATGTGTTATGTGAATATGCCTGTCTACTTCGCTTTCCTTACCTCTTTGCATGCATTTTTACTTTTATTTAAGTTTTATGGGGTATGTGTACACCTCTTGGCTTGTAATAGATAGGGCTTGGCGAGCAATTTGGTCCATTTACCCTTTCCCCTTTATGTTTTTATGGGGTTTGTGTACACCTCTTGGCTTGTAATAGATAGGGCTTGGCGAGCAATTTGGTCCATTTACCCCTTCCCCTTTATGTTTTTATGGGGTATGTGTACACCTCTTGGCTTGTAATAGATAGGGCTTGGCGAGCAATTTGGTCCATTTACCCCTTCCCCTTTTGTTTTAGTTAGTGAATGTAATAGGTTCATTAGCTTGGTTGCATGCCTACGTGTTAAGTGTTACTCGCTTTATTAGGCTCTTGCATCTAGTCGAGCATGCTAATTGTTATGTGATATGTGTCTATAGGTGTTTGGCATGTCTAATCGCTTTCCATAGCTATGAATGAATGTGATGGATGAATGTACGTCACCACACTAGTCCAATGCTAGTTGTGGCTCATTATTTCATTAGGAATTCATAGAAAGGGCTAGTCCAACGCTAGACCCAATAGGATTTTTCCTTTGTTTTCCATTAATGCATTATTTGCCTGTTCACTACATATCATGCATCTTCCCTTAGTTTTATCATCTGGCATGCTCCTCGCACCCCTTTTCCCCTCATTTTAGGACTTTTGCATCTCATACTAGTTATAGGGTTCATTTGCCTGGAGAGTCCCCTTAAATATGGGATATAGACGAGTGTGGCTTTTTCTAAAGCCTTAGCACGCTTGTATCCTCTCTATAGAAGGGCAAATTGAGTCACGATTTAGGTCTCCCCGTACCCAACATGCATGAATTCCCTAAGCTCATGCATCCTCAATCCACTCTATCATCACACTTTCACTTTTGTCTCATTTGCACACGAACACTTTTTTATCTTCACTTGCACACGAACACTGTTATCTTCACTTGCACACGAACACTTTTATCCTCACTCGCACACGAGTACTTTCATCTTCATTTGCACACCGACGCTTTCACACTTTTCTCTAAATTGCATACATGCATTTTGCCCACTAGCACTTGGAGTATATTTTATACATTCAAGGACATTTTCTTTGCACACTTCCCCTCACACTATTGTTTTTATTACTTTTTCACACAAACGCACATTTTTCATGGCATGCATTCATCTACTCATTTTTCACGTCATTTAGGTTTAGGTGTGACCTCTCCAAAAGGATCATTGTTGGGCTTCACAATTAATGTGATTGGCATCACTCAACCTTTGAAGAGAAATTTCCCCCATGTCCCCCTAGGTCTAGGTTTTTGTATTCATATAGACATATCCAATACGCGATACATACCTTGGGTAGAAAAATTAGGAAAAATTGGTTTAAGTCACGCAACTAGCCTTGGCTAGATCGAAGGGGTGCCTTGGATTTTTATCCTTGCCTTCCCCTTCGTCAAATGTGACCCCCGATCCCTCTTTTGGTTACGTAGACCCAAAAGTTCTCTAAAAGGGTTTATTTACTTTTTTCAGTCAAAAACAAAAAATCATTTTTGGGTGACTTGGTACACCCTAACTCGATACCAAGTGGCGACTCCATTTTCATTAAAAAAACCCTTTTTGAACTTCACTTGGCCAAATCGTCGCATTCTTAAGTCCCATGGCCTTTTACTTTTCATTTTGCACACGTTCACACACACACTACACACTCACATCTCACACCACTACCCACACAACACATCACAACACATCATTCAAAAAGTGGGGCGCGACACCTGCAACATTACAGAGTCCATTATTGTTTATTATAGCTGATTTCATTCCTTTTATCTCCCAATCCTTAATAAAGAAAATAACACTTTCTTGTAAGGATAAAATCCTCTTGCCAACTGCCTCCCATTTGTACTAACTAGCAAGGGCGGTTGCGTCCACCTATGGTGGGCCCACTTCTCCCTCCAAACCTCATGAATCCTTGCCTAATCTTCGTCAGCACGAGTCTCGATTTCCAAGATCAAGTGAAGCAGTATATTCTAAAATGACATGCTAAAAAGAAAACAAGCAAATTTCATAGAATGCAATACCTATCCAGGATCCTCAGCTTCTACTAGATCATCCAGGCAACGAACACATGATAAAAGCTAGTAATACTTATTCATATCTTAACTTCACCAAGGAAATGAAAGTTTATTTTAATGTCACCAACAGATAAGGTAAGATACAAATCTAAGTTACCTTTTAGAGCATCCCCAAACACAAAGTTCTTTAACTTGCTATTCCAGCTAATAGGTCAGTACTGGAAATTACCCTCTAAATCACACAAAGAGCGAAAGAAAGACCAAAAAGTCTAGATGATAAATAGAAGCACATTTAGAAAATAGAGAGCAAGAAGAAAGACAGAAACTCGTAAAAACCAAAACAAGAAAACGGCTCACACCTTTTTGATTTGGCAACAATCCTGTACTTTCAGCAGATACTGGCAGGATGGTAAGACCAGATTCATCCGTTAGCTCATTTAGAACTTCATTATTCACAGAAGCAGGGTTCAATGACTTAGATTCAGCCAACTTTGCATAAGCAATAGCTTGGCAGTGCATGTTAGATGAGGCAGAGGTCCGTGAAGCATAATCCTAGGAAAGACATAGTTTTAACCCTACGATAAAATTTGCTGCTTAAAGAAACATTAATGATGTTACAGGAAATAGATTTTAGGTAGCACGATGAACCTTAGCAGTGGGGATTGCTGAAATGCTCTCTTTACCTGGTTTTCCCAGCCCAGTTTCATCTAAGTCAAACCAAAGAACAAAAAAAGAGTGGGTTGGGGCATGCAATAAGGTGAAAACCTGAAAAGGGAAGATTCAGGCTATTCAAGAACAAGAGTTAAAAGAAGAAGTTATACCACTTGTAGGAGATGTATTCACAGCATTGTCCACAAGGCTCCGAGCTAATGGACCAGGATTCACAAAAGATATAGTTCGAATCTCATGACGAATAGCTTCAAGTTGGGAAATAGTGTCTTTGTAGTTCTTTATGCACCTACAAAACACAAAATTAGTACAGCTCATCTACAAAAATCATTGAAAGACAGTGCCATTTACATTTTAATTGTCTAGCTAGTGAACCTCAACCACTAACTATGCCATGCATGTGCTTTCTATACAGACAGACAGGCAGACAGAAACATTTAGAGACATATATCTATGTGCATGTAGAGAGAGAGAGACCCGATGAGCCTTAGATTGCTGCATAACACTATCGAATTGGCCACGGGCCACTTGGACATATCCAATTGCCCTTCCAGCCAACCTCCCCGCGGTTCTTGCAATTATTGGCAGATCCTTTGGGCCTGAACTACAGCTATGAATATCAACACATAAACCTCAATTTAACATTGACACTAATACGTGTGCACATATGCCAGAGCAAGAGATAGAAAGTATCATTTCCAAAGGATCATCCTTGAAGCCACCCAAGCAAAAATGGAAAAACCGCAAAACACAACACACTTTGTCGTGATAGCAAACAATACAACTTACTACATTGTTTCATCGCATTTATACGTAGGTAATCATCAAAAAAGATGCAAAGATCAAAATCTATACAAGGAGGAATAGCCAATAGCGTACCAATTAGAGTAGCAGTAGCTCCAATTATGAGAAACAGCTCCCCATAAGAAATCCCAAGCATCACTCTTTGCTTTTGTTCCCCCTCCTCCTAGGCACTTGTAGCTGAGCAAAGTGCATGACAGGGCTAAATTAGTGTTACTTTTTGAAACTTTGGCTTAAAGATAAAATTGTCAGGTGTAGAAAAAATGTACTAATAGACAACCTTTGTTGTCTTCTTTATTCAATGACAATAAATTGCACATTGTATTCAAGAAACAATCAATTAAAATCCCAAATTGCAACCACTAACACGAGAATATTCTCTTTTTGCTTCCTCTCTAACGCCGCCTCCTTGTGCTTGATGCACACAAGCACAATTTCGCACAGTAACACACAAAAAGCATGAAAATCTCTATTTCCTTTGCATTTTTTCCTTTTTGAGTTCTCATGTGGAAACTTATTTATGAATTTTAAGTGCAAAAAATTATTAAAAATAATTATTCCCAAACACACTCATTATTTGGGATATTTGTCTTTAAAATGAATTATGTAATATATTATTTTTTAAGTCCATTTTATAACTTGTAGAGTTTGGGGGTCATAAATTTTTATTAAAAGATTCCAAATAAATTTGTTTTAGAGAAATAAAAAAAAAGATAAAATTAACAAAACGTTTATATATTATAAGTAAAGTATTTTATCAACATATGGTGAAGTAGCCTGGTGGTAAGCGTGCTGTTGCATTGGTCAGAGGTCTAAGGTTTGAATTCTAGCAAAGTAATAAAATTTTTCTACAAAACCGGTTCGTTGACAAAATCGGCTGGGTTTCCAGTTTAAGCCGGTCGAACCACCTATCCATTGACTAGTCAACTGTTTGATTGCTTAAACGATCTAATTTAAAACTCAACCCGATCCAATGACCGGTTCGACCGCCGGACCGGGTCGGGTTTAATAACTATGGCTGTTCCCTTACTTTGATCATGACAAGTTAAAGAGCTACAACATTATCCATCAGGCTATTCCCTTCACCAAACTCCTTAAGTGCCCGGTAAGCTAGCAACTGATTATTTCTATTCATTGCAAGTATACCAACTCTTTGGTTCTTGCTATCGCTACAATCATCTTGTATTGTCCCAGCTGCTGTTGTTTCTGGCATGCTCATCTTGTTCTCTTTTGCATTTGCTTTCTAAAATTCTAGCCACTCTACTTGAGCTTTTTAAATTATCTTGATTGGTGGTCTTCTGTTTTCTTGTAAAACTTTCTCATTTCTTGCCTTCCAAATTTGCCAAAGAATGTTAACAGTCAATGCTATACGTTCCATTCCTTCAGGTCTATTTCTGGCTTCTGTTAGAACATTCCACCATCGGCTGAAGTTCCCTCTTTGGTCTTCAATTCCGTCCCATTTTACCTGTGATAGCTTCCATACTTCCTCAGCATTTCTGCAATGAAAGAGTAGGTGCTCTACTGTTTCTATGTCTTCACCAGAATTTCCACATATTGGAGACCCTTTCTTTGTCCTACTGAATACTACTTCATTAACAGGCAATGCTTCATTCAAGCACTTTTAGATGAAAATTTTCAACTTATGCTTTACATTGAGTTTCCACAAATGTTTCCATAGACGTTCCTCTCCCAAGCTTGTCTCCTCTCTTTCTTGTTCTTGCTACCTTTGATTGCCTCCCTACTTGTTGAGTGCTTTGTTTCTTGATGCCACTGTGTACTGGCCATATGCACTATGTATTCAAAAGTGACTATCCTTTCTATTTGCCAAGCTTATAGATATTCTCAATACTTTCTTGACCTCTTCTGCATTAAGCAATCTAAACACTAAGGGTTTTTTCCATCTAAAATTCTAGATTAGGTCCTCCACTTTTTGTACTTGGCAATCTTGGGGTTTCACTGAGACAGGCTTTCCCTGGGGTTATCTTGTATCCAGCCGTCCTCCAAGATTTTTGTACTTCTCCCATTTCCAATTTTCTTCCTAATCCCTCGCTGAACATCTTTCCTCACAGCCATTAAGCTTTGCTAGATCTATGATGCATTGTTATGGGCCTTGCAATTGAATATTGTCTCCCTCGGATAGTATTTTGCTTTCATCACTATACCAACCAATGCATTTGGCATTTTTAGTAGCCTTCAAATTTGCTTTCCTAGTAAAGCTTTGTTAAAGTTCTGCAAGTCTTTGAAACCTAGGCCCCCATTCCTTTTGTTCGAAGCTAGTTTTTGCTAGGAGCACCAGTGCATCTTCCTTCTCTTATTTCCCTCTCTACACCAATAGTTAGCCATCATTTTGCTTATTTCTTTACACAATCCAACTGGCAGTTTGAAGCATGACATTGCTTCAGGAGAACTTCTTTTCTAGTAGCACTCAATAGTTTATTTTTCCATTGTTGCATTTTATTTTCACAGCTTTCCTTGATGAAGTTGAAAACTTGCTTTTTGGATCTAGATATTACCATAAGTAATCCTAGATATCTTTCCTGGGTCACTGTCTGTATGTTGTTGAATTTGTTGTAGATCTCCTTCTGCTGTTATTGAGGAACATTCTTGCTGAAGAAGATAGAAGATTTATCTAGATTAATCACTTGGCCTGATCCTTTCTCATACCTTCTCAAAATCTCCCTGAGTTCTTCTGCTTCTCTAGGATTTGCTTGCTAAAAATATGGTAAGACCAAATTTTTCCGTTAGCTCATTTAGAACTTCATTATTCACAGAAGCAGGGTTCAATGACTTAGATTCAGCCAACCTTGCATAAGCAGTAGCTTGGCTATGCATGTTAGATAAGGCTGAGGTTCGTGAATTATAATCCTAGGAAAGACATAGTTTGAACCCTATTGATAAAACTTGGTGCTAAAAGAAACATTGAATGGTTTGTAAATAAGGAAAAAAAAAGATATTTCATGGGGCTAGATATGCTACGTGTGGTATTGCTTAGATGCAAAAAAAAAAAATAGTCCTCAATAATCGAAACAAGATTAAGCTCTTAATGGTAATCCCCTAGAAGAAACTCCGAAATGTACTTAAAAATGTAATTACCCTAGAAGAAACTTTAAAAGGTAGTTTTGTGTAATGATGAGAGTTCCAGGAGCAGAGGACAGTTCTGAACTTTGATAGACATTCCTGATCAGGTTACTAGCTTAGGCCTCAATCTGTCAAATTTTGCTCCCACTCCTAACAACCTTTCCTGGCACACGCTCAACACCCTATCACCCCAGCAATTAATTTGCAGAACAATTAGGGTACAAGCTAAATGCATAGTAGAGCACAACACATACTATCACACCTGTAACATTTGTAACCACGGGGGTTTGCCCAGTGATTAAAGAAATGTTTAACACTCTCAGAGTTCTCCCCTCTGTCAGGTTCAAAGTTCGAATTCTGAGCTTGACAATGGGAGGTGAGAAGGGTGTGGAGACATGTGGGAGGATAAAATTAAAGATTAAAAAATAAAATCTGTCATATGACACAACACACTTGACTGACTAAATAAGCACAAATACAAGATTGTATCAGATTATGTATTCCCATTTTCCAGATGAACATGTATTTAGATATAACTCACTAAGGTAAGTTTACATTCCATCATATAAGTTCCACAGATACTTGAGATGCAAGTGTAACATCTAGAAATAAATTATAAGTATATCCATCCTTAATATTTGAACAATCAATTTAATCAAATAGTACATTGCTGTGTTATTAATACATAGCAACTTATTTATGCATTACAACAACAAATATGACATCAATGTAAACAGAACCATACAGAAGACACTAATACTTATGACAGAGATCATTAGCCTGACCATCGGTCTGAATCTCCAACCACGAAGAAGACTCCTCAATTTCTTCTGGCAACCATCCGTCTGAATTTGCATCTGACCATGAAGAAGACTCCTCAATTTCTTCTAAGATAAGGATTTTCATATCCATGTTTCCATAATCCTTCTGTTGTTCCTCAATATCTTCAAATGAATTCCTATCCAAGTATGGACATCGATGCACCTCAATCAATTTAAGAGGTGATTCCCCTAAACAAGAAGGTAGCTTTTGCAATTTCTTACAATCATCCAAAACTAATTTTTCAAGACTGGGAAAACAATGTCGTAAACCTTTCCACCTAAACTATCTCCAAGGATTTCAATTTCAAGAACTTGAGTTCAGGGAAGAATTCCTTCTTTTCCATATTTTCCAATTTCTTCACTATCTTCCATGTTTTGACTGTCCTGTTTCTCTTCCCCATCAGCTTGTCGATTTAATCTCAGAACTTGAAAGATTGGGTAGCTTTCTAGTTGTGGAATTATACACCAGGAAAATTCCTCTAGGGTCAATTTTTTTAGACTGGAGGGGAGACGGAGTTCAACACAATGCATAGTCACTTTACCTAGATTCAGTTTCAGTGATTCCAGATGACTCAAAAAGTTCATTACCACGACCTTATTGCTGTCTGCAGTAAATTTTGTTGATTCCACGAGACAGCATTTTAGTTGACGGATATTTGGAAACTTCCTGATCATCTTTTCCATGCGTTGCCCTAGATAAAGCTTCATAGTTGAAAAAGTGTCTAAATTATTCAAGATGGAGAAGCTGTCAAGGTTATCATTGGCCAATCTAATATCAATCAAAGCACCATACACATGTAGATGCCTCAATTTTTGCATCTTTAGAAGAGTATCTTGCAACAAAGAAAGACCAACATCATCCCTTGTTCTCACAAGAAAAGTTTCCAAATTTGAGAGCTTTTCTAGTGAGGATGGAATGCCATTCTTCAGCCAACTTAGAATTGCCAAGTACCTCAGCTGAACAAGCGACCATAATTCCCTCGGGAAATCAGAACCTAGACTAATATTTTCCAAGTCTAGCACTTTAAGAAGTTTCAGGAGAAAAATGAAATGAAAATTGCACGAGAGTTGGCAGACCTCAATATCTCTAGATGAATATAATAGAGAGTGTATATGGGGACAAATTATCTTAGATTTTATGAAATGCCTTGGTTGAGCTTGAATAGATAATTGACATGGGTTGTACAACCCATCAAATGTAAGATCCTCATCATATCCTCGTACCAATTGTAGAAAATTTTG